TGAGCCTATTGGATCCATTCAAATTTATCCCTTTAGACGATGAATTTATTGAACCCACTGTGATTGTTTAGATAACAAAGATTCTAATGAGTAAAAATAATTCAGCTTTCCCTGTGATGTATCATTAAAAAAATATATATATTATTTAATTTATTATTAGTTCTTAATTCTTGTATTATTGTAGCAATTACTGTTTTACATAAAAATATCAAACAATTCAATTTTCTTTATGTTATATTTGCATAAATTTGGATTATTCTTATTAAAATAAACTTAGTATTCATTCTTTTTTATATTTAGTTACGTCATTTTGGTTCCTTGAAATTAATTAGTGTCTTTTAATCAACATATATTAAATTTGTCTCGCGTCAGTAATTGTGTTACTAATTTTGATGTTAACTCCAGAGGATTAAAAGAAAATCTATTTTTAGAGATGGATCTGTGAGTGCAAAAGAGAGAAAAGTCGAAAGTTTTAAAATAATTTAGATATTCTGCAAGTACTTTATATAATATTTACATTTTTTAATGAATTGAGTTTAAAATTTTAATTTTTATAATTATATAGCGAAATAAAATAAACCTATTTTGTATTATAATAATCTGATTATACCAACAAAGGTGAAGTTTATCAAAACTGATGATTAGTAGAGTACATTTCACACAATTCGCGTGTCCGCGGACTCGAATTAAACCAATAACAATTGGCATTGTTTTAAATCACCCCGCGGGATCGGGTGGCGATAGGTAGACCGACATCGCGGCCGGAACGTATCGCCGTGTGTATCCATCTGGATCAACCCTAGGACCCATCTGGAATAGATGGTCTGGCTCCGGCTGCGTCAGCTCCGGTAACGTCGTTACCGCTATCGTCGTAATCATATTTTGCCGTGCAAGACCACCCCACCAAACGAGATTACGCCACTGACGGTAGGATAGCGAGGAGAAAAAGAAAGAGAGAGAAACTGAGTGGAAAGGGAACTATTAAAATAAAAAGAGAAATGGCGACGAGGGGGGAAGGAGAGAAAAGGGAAAAGAGGGAAAAGAGTGAAATAGAACGGGGGCTGCTCGCATTCAGCGAGGGAAAGGAAAAGGGGCAGCTTACCTTTGGCTCTCATTTACATCGACATTATGCATTCAGACCTCATGTGCCTTAACCCGGCCATGCGGACTTGATTCAATCTCGCGAAACGAGCTGCGAGGTACCGCGACGATGCGCACTTCGTGGTCGTGGAAACGACGAAGAGGCACGTTGTGCACGATGCATTCGCGACATGCGCATCCGTGTCATCCGACGACGAGGCGAAATTGGATATTTTCGAGGTGTTCGCGATCAAATGCCAGCGCCGAACGTATCGTCGTCGTTTATCTACATTTGCAGGCGATCGTTTCGCGTTCGTAGTCAATCGTTCGTCGCGTTCTTTCCGAGAACATCGCTATTTCACCAGTACAGAAAGAACGGAATTGTTGCGATCCCGACGTTTCCGTAAAGATTGTGATGGAAATAGGAAGAGGATTGATTTAGGATGCTCTCGACAGAGGTAAAAAAAAATCTGCTGAAGTTATAATGATGCATTGTAGTAATTTTACTTTTTATATAAAAAATATATTAAACACGCTATATAATTGAAAAAGTACAGAGATAAAGTACAGAAAATAAAAAAAGAACGGAGATAAAATACAGAAAATAACTGAGAAAACAAAAGTCGAGGAAACTAGCTGTGCGTGTAATTTTTAAATTCTAAATTTTTTTATTTTTGTGTTTATTTAAATAATTTTCCATCTCAGAAATATGACTGATGAAAGTAATTGGGCGCGCAGTCTGTTTTCTGTTCCTGCACTAGATTGCTGTAGAACTCTCTTTCTCTCTTTCGACAAATATGAAACATATATCTATCTCACTTTAAGTTCCAAAAGTGTACAGTAATTCAGCCATAGAAAACAGACCTCATATGTTTGAGATAAAAATGATTTAAATACATAAAGATGTGTTATTATATCAAAACACCTAAGACTATAATTGGCATTTCTCGTACTCAGTTTTTATTCATATAAGCGATCTAATCTTAATATCTTTTACTTATATTTTTTTATATTATATTTGAAATCTAAAGCTTGGAATATTAAGCGTGTTGTTTTGCTGCAAAACGGAGAAATTGTTTATCAACAGAAAATCACATGTTCTCTCTCTCTCTCTCTCCTCCCCCTCTCTCTAACTAACGATATTTATCTATCTCTTTTTTTTTTTTAAGAAAATGAGAAATTCCCCGATTCAACGACGATGGCGAAACGTGTGAAAGGTAATTCGATTACCGTGAGAGATCTATTCGTTCGTGGCCGCCACTTTGTTGTTTACTTTAAGACCTCCCCTTCTCTGCCTGCTTAAAATGCATTGGCTCGTGCATGGCGCATCTATCGGGCCAGCAACATTTGCTTTGCATAATTTTGCGACCGAAAATTGATAATGTCATTTCTCGCGGTACGCGACGGTAATCGTTATTTCGTTCTATCAGACACGTCGACATTAATTAGAGCTGCACGCGCGAATTATCAATGACTGCACGCCACACTAAACGTCATTTCGCGGAACACTTGCCGATCGACACAAACGAATGTAGAGCTGCGTGGAAAGCGAAATAACGGAAATAATTAACTAAACATATGCTAAGAGACGATTATACTGTTTATACGTGATGTTGTTTTTATTAATATAAAATTATTATTAAACTTACCTGTAATAGCGCACAATACAAAACTATACAGAAACAACAATATGAAAATATTTTAATACTTTTTGGCAATAGTGTCAAGAAATGATTTTATTAACAAGTGTATGTCTAAATTATGAATATAAAATGAAATATATAAATCTGATCCGTTTAGCAGAAGAAAGCTATATTTATTTTGTCTCTGAACATACTAGAACTAGAGATATGACTATTCCACTCTCATCGCATTGTCTGAAAATAGAGAATTTTATATTATACTGACACACGATTTACAAGATACGAATTATTTTAATTTACAACTAATAATCAGAAGTACACATTGTTACTAATTACAACGTTCGCATAACTTTCAACTCATACTGAGCGAATTTTATTATATTAAACAACTGTGAGTTTTATTATATTATTGCTTGCGATTGAGAGCGAATTGTAATTTTTATATATTTTAACTTTGTAATATTTTCACCGTTCTATTTTTGTGTATTAACATTGATAATGATCCAACAGGGATCGAAACGTTTGTTTGTGTTCTATTGTTTATTGCCGGCAAATTAAAGTTTTATATTCTGACTAAATGACATATTTATCCTGTGATTTTTAAAAAAATTTCTATTTCTAACGACTAACTCTTAGGCTCGTAGCCCTTTTTCTTTCATTTTTTATATTTATTTTATGTATTTTTATAAATTTTACATATTTTTAATGCCCTCACTTTCTCTTCCCCTATTTCATGATGTTTAGCAGGTGTAAGCGTTAAGGCATTTGCGAAGGTGTAATAAGCGGTGTCTTCTTTTATGATATCGCAAACTTCCGTGGAAATTGCTGTTTTAATAAAAAAAAAAAAGAAAAAACAGAAATGGAAAGAAACGTTGAAAGATGGCATATCTGGAGCGAAGCGTGCTAGAATACGGGACGAAGAAGGTACAGCGGGCGTATAAACCGGATGTCCCGGGTTTCCACGGGCAGCGTAATATCGTAAAGCCGATTTCGCTGCCCGGATAGGAAAAAGGCGGCGACGGCAATGACGGTGGCGGCAGAACGGTAAAGCCCTTCTACATACGCGTGTTTGCCCATGCGGATGTGTAAGTGGAATAAATTTCGCAGCAACAATTCGACGACGATCCCGCTCCAATCGGCGGATACGCGCGAGAGGATCCTTCGCTGGTTGCACTGCGGTCCCCGGGACCCAAACGACGATCCTCGCTTTATCGGGATCTCGGCTGACTGATGGATTCGGCCCCGTTCTGCTGTCGCGTTCTGCCCCAAATCTATTCCGTTTTATTGCCCTTCTGATACATAAATTTTTATTCAATTTGATTTGCCGCCATTGCTATGGTAATAGGACAGAAAGGGGTACACACACACACACACACAACTTCGCTTTTCTCGAAGTCTCTCTCTTTCTGTCTTTCTCTCTTTCATCTTAACTTATTCTTCTTCTCTTTTCTCGTCGTCGTTTGCTCAATCCGCTTCCATCCTCTTCTCCTTTTCCGCGATCGGCGTTTACTCGAAAAAGACATTTCGCGGCTTTCGCTCATTCTAAATGCGCCATTATGGCTCAGCCGGCGACCTTCCTAGGGAGACGACGTTGTATTATGCGCATTAAAATCGTTCAGATTTATGAACCGATGTTTTTGTAAACGGTTCTTTTTCAGATCATTTTCTAGCCTTGACACTTGTGTTATGGAGGAAAGTACTTTAATTGGAGGGACGTGTACTTTTTAGCCACGTTAATTACTTTCATGATGACTTTTCCTTGATTAGTAGAAGAACCTAATTTTTTTTATGTCACAAAGAAGAAATGACTTCACTCAGTGCAAAGAGCTTTTTTTATCACACGATAATTCTAAAAACTACGTTTTATTACCGCTCACGTACAATTCTACTTTCTTGATGTAAGCTTTTATCGTTCGTTTTGCCATGCGTAACTACTAAAAGAACATCTTGAACGAGTTTTTAGCAATTACTCTTATGATAATATTTGTGTCGTAGAGAAAGAGTTTTATTTTGATATATAAATCTGATTTCTCGTTCAAGTAAGCAGGAATATTTTTTTTATTGAACTAACTTCTTTTATGGTACATTACAATTGAAATATGACAACATTTTATTGGTTCATATTGAAAAAGTAACTAGCAATAAATATGTATTTATCAATAGAAATCTATCAATAATTTTTTTTGAAAAAATGTAATTAACATTTTTCTTTTATTAATATTTTTTAAAAAGATATATTAGAAAGAAGTATTTATTAAAAATATCTTTATATTTTTATTCTTTTATTATAACTTTTCAATTATCTTTCTCGTATTATGTTAATATACGTTCATTATAATAATCTTTCAATTCTACTTACGATTATTGCTAATTAAGACTTTATTAAGATTAACATTCACACATATCGAAAGATAGAATGCGAAAGAAACATTTCTTGTGCAGCTTAAAAAACGGGGCGCGTTTTCCCGGCTGATCAAGGTGTAAAGAGTCGAAGAATCTCACGGAAGATCGAATTTGGATCAGTGCCCATGAAAAATCCGCCGCGATCGTCGTCGCCAGGAAATTCCGAGATCTTTCGATTTTCACTGCGAAGCGGCGCGGCATAGGGGTGTCGGGGTGTTTATCGGGTCGCTGCTGTCGGATTTTTGGTATGCGGTTCACGAAGAACAACCCATCCCTGGCCAGCCCAGGCTCCTACATCGCCCCGCGGCTCTGACGCGCAGCACGTGACCCGTGGAACCCCCGGAAAGGCCATAGACAGGGTGGCGAACAGCGGAGGGTAGTCGGAGGCGCGAGGGAGGCTGCACGGAGCAGCACGTGACACACATATTGCCTACCTTTCGGGAATCTCGAGCCAAAAGGCTTCTCTCTGTGTTCCTGCCGTGAGAGACATAGTATGATAGAAAAACTAATCTTCAAGATTAAATCTCTAATTCGTGCCCACGATTTTCTCGCAAAGATCACAACGGCCGATAGCGACGATAGACCGAGAAGCATTTGTGTGAAGAGCCATCTTTTATCTCACAGTTATCGTGAATCAGTCGGCTTATTTTTACTGTGATCAAGAAAAGGAGAGAGAGGAAATAGAATAAAATACAATATAAGTGTTATATTCGAAACTTTTTTAAAGAAATATATGTATATACTAGGGTAGTTGTTATTTTAACAATTTTTTTTATTTAATCGGGGCACTCTCTAAAGTGATTCATACCTCAAAAAAATAAAACCAGATTTTTTTCAGATTTTTTTAATAAATTCGACCTGCTGTATCACCGGGACACGAGTAGGCGGAGAAACGCCTTTGTGTCCCTTTATGGACAAAATTTGACCAACGCTTTGATTCTTAACCAATTTTAAAGTTTCTTTTTTTAATTTGCTCGAAATATATTGAATAATCTAAAAGCCCATTTTGCGTAAATTTTTGCAATCCAAGAAAAAATTGTCGTTCCAATGAAGTGAGCAGGAAAATAAAAATTATACGATAACGAATATTGGATCGGCAATTTTTACTTTTCGAGAAAAACGTGGTGAACTTTTTATCAGACTCACTCTGTATATATAAAGTATAAAATGAGGTAACAATCTTCGGAGCTGAGCTCACACCAAAATATAAAAAAAAATTTATATGAATGTATAAACAAATCCACCACTCAGAGATATAACTCAAAATGTTTGCAGGACCAGTTGCATGGTCTCCACGATTCCCTGATCCCACGATCTAAATCCTCTTACAGATTTTTAATCTGTGGAGACATTTAAAGTTCGTACGAAAATCGCCAATGAGAATACGCTACGCCAATACATCTTCGATGTGCTTATGACACCATATACAATTGCCTCGGGATCTTTGAAAGAGTGCGACATCACGAAAAAAATGGTTACGGCTGCCATGATCAAAAGTCGCCCATCAATATATTTTTTGTAAGAACTATAGTACGATTGCGATAACCGTAAGATTAGCATATCTTAACGGTTATGGCTGTAAAGATATGTCCATCTTATAATTATCACAATCTGCACATTTATTAATGGGCGAAAATTATCATTATTTCCAGTTGTGGCAACCGTAACATTTTTTCTGTGATGATCTAATGTGTCCAAGCGTGTATTGAATTAAATAGGAGATACTTCGAACATTTGTTATAATTAAAAATTGGAAAAAAATAATATTAAATAATAATAAATATTGCTTTTTTTATTTTTCCCTATTAATAAACATTGTAGTAACAGTGAGTTTGAATACATACATAATGTCCCATTTTAAATAACGACCTTAAATATCTCTTGAACAGTGAATTTTATACACGTTCTACAATAAGCCATTTGTCAATTAGATATTTGGCTAATGCAGGCGATATTGTAACTTTCAAGCCTTATAATTCGAAAAGTATTTAATGAAAAAGAATTTTGAATAGCTCTCGAGGTAAGCCACGAGAATAATATAATGAAAAATAGGCGATTCCATTTAAAAAATTTAAAGCGACCTTGCTGTGACCTTGACAACGCCACTCAAAATCAAACATCAAGCAAAAGATACCTTTTTATGTCCCCTTTAAAGTCATAAAACTTTTATCTGAAACATTTTTTTTAAGGCACATTCTACAATAAGCCATTAGTAATAAATTAGAAATTAAAAACTAGAAATTGATCACACTGAAAGAAAAGGTTAGCTGCTGCAGCAAATTAGATGGTAAAATATGGCATAGCATTTCTAACTGGCTGCACCAGCCAATTTTTGGTTGTAGCAGCCAATTTTTGGTTGCGTTAGCCTATCTGCAATATCAATACAGGATTTCGATAGATTAATGCAACCAAAAATTGGCTGCTGCAACCAATTAAAAATGCTATGCCATATTCAGCCAATCTTTTCTTTCAGTGCAATCATAGTCAATTATTCTTCTCGCATATAAGACAGAAAAAAGAATAAATACAAAAAATTCCTTTGGATATTATTTCATTTGTGCGTTTTTGTACGACAAAAATGTACAGGACAGAGAGAGATCCTCTCTATCCTACAGTCAATCAACAAGCTTGAAAAAATTTGTCGTACGACACAAGTGAAATAGCAGCTTTAGTGATTGTTATTTTACTATCAATTTGTTGACTTTGTAGTCAGTTTTTTATTAAAACATTTTTTATTAGAATTTATTTAAATTATAAGCAATATAAGCTATTGCAAATATAAGATTTGCCAAGAATTTAGCTTTTCTAGAATAATCAAAATAGCCAAAATTTGAAATATATGAAAGAATAGGAAAAAAAATTAATAGCAGACAATGATATGGAAATCGTTTAAAGATTCTAATGAACTGAATCTCTGCGAAATAAGTTTGCGAAACGAATGTTGATGATTCAGAGCGACGTGACGATCGTACGATAATTCGTCAGAGAGACGAGAAATATCGGATGGTAAAAGCGTAATTGAGTTTGTTCGTTCGACGATTTTACTTTTTCTGCGGTACGTCGACGGAAACTTGTTTTCCGATTAATCAACGTGTCACGGTGTATCTTTCCGCGGTTACCTTACGTCCTCGTGCCTTCGAGTTACGTGGCCGCCAACTTTATTCCATTAATATCGTCCGCGGCTGTTGACGCGCGGCTTTTTAGCACGCCGAAACTTTGCGCGAAATAATTATTCTCGCGTTGCTTTAACACATTGCACAAAACATCCCGGCTCAGTGTTCTGATTTTAAAAAACTATTAAAAGCCACTACACAACAATATTCTCCCCTCTGCTTCTTTTATCATAAATATCATTTATTTAAATTAGCGCGAAGTACAAAAATTCTAACGCCACAAAAATATTTATGATCGCATAATAATTAGAAGAAATAATTTTGTAATAATAATAGTAAACAATAAATTTACGGGCGATTGAGAGCTAGAAATAGGCGCAGCTATTAAATGCGTATAAATAACAAAAGTATATTCTAACAAAGATCTTACATTAATTTCGCAAGAAATTTCGTACAAATCAATATCGGACGTTTTGGCTTCATTCGAGCCATCATCAGCGATGTCAAACAATGGATATGGACATTATTCGCATCTCAACGACCCAAGCGAGCAGCACCGGATGAGCCTCTTCAATTCCAAATTTTGAGAAGAAACATTACCAATTAACTGATTAGTCAAGTGAGAACTGGTAATTTCAATAGAACTTTATTAAGTAATGGAAAGAAATAAATGATAAACTTAATTATGATTAATTAAAGAGACTTACCAGCTGTAAACTTTGATCAACACATAGCGCGAGGAAAAATATGTAGATAAAGAGAACTGTTTCGCGAAGAGTACAGAATTGAAATGATTTTGCTAGTTCTGTTGCTTCTCAAAATTTTGTTATTTATACACATTTAATAGTTGCGCCTATTTCTAGCTCTCAATCGCCCGTCAATTTATTGTTTACTATTATTGTTAAATATCTCGAGAGCTCAATTCAGTTTTTAATTTATATTATTGAAATAATTTTGTGTTTTACTAAGTTTATGTATTTAACGATTTTTTTAAATAAAGGAACATGGTAATGAAAGCCCTAACATGAAATAATATTCAGAATTGCGTGGCCAGACGCCAAAGCGCCTTAACATCCGGCAACGTTTCTTACATTTCTGAAACGCACTTTGTCGCGTTGCTTAAGTTAGGAGCTGTTCGACTGAGATTCCGTAAATATGTTTATACATTTTGTTACGCTTAATGCAAATTACTATCTGCCAGCTAGTTGTTTAACACGCGTAACTCTCTTCTTTTCCTATTGATTACAGGATGCGATCTATATTTCATTTTGCCATAATGACGATGATGGAGAAATTGAGTTGCTGCAAAGCGCAAACGAACCAAGTCTATAATTTATGAAGAAATAATGAACAAATTAAACCGAGCGTCATAACTTATAATATAATCAACAAAAAATGCACGACATTATTTAAAATCGTTGTTAAATTATCTCGGGTGGCTGTTCTATATCCTTATTAAAATCGTATATCAAGGTAGGAATAAAAATTCCCAGTAAAGGTAGAAGATACGAGATAAGATTCGTTATTAAAGTACGGAGTATAAAGTGAATCATGCAGATTGCGAACCTAGCGGACCTAGCGACCCTTGCGCTCTGCAACATGCATTTGATGTTGTAACCGTGGAAACAATTCAAAAAAATAACGACTTCGCGAAGAATAGCTTGGCCAAAATGAAATCATCTTCGATACTGTTGAGGAAAACAGGATGATTACGTCGGTTCCCAACATGGCTGCCAAGGCCGGAAGCGTGTTATTAAGGGAGTTTACGGATTAAATATTGAGGGCTGGGCTAGAGATTTGACGAGCCACAATGTAATCCTTCTCATAATGTCGTATTCTATTAAACGGTACACGAGAGTCGATGTGCAAACCGGGATTAATTTTCTGCGCGCGATTTACATGAGAATATGAAATATGCATCTTTGATTCTCTCTCTTCCTTTCTTTCTCCATGATTAAAATATCGAATCGTCTTACTGCTTCTCCACGGACAAAATGATTTTCCAAGTAACCGAGTTTTGACTGAGCTTAAATCTTCAGCATAACTTGATATATACGCAACTTTTTGCATAAATATGTAATTTTATTACTGCAAAAATTTAATTATTTTTTTACGAAAACATTTGAACATAATTTGTACTTTCCGTCAGTAAAAGAGATATCATTTCTCGCGTCACTCTTATTTGAATTCTAAAAAGATTTAAGTCATACGTAGCGGAAAAGCTTGCGCATGTAAGTTGCGTATTAAATTCTTTGTAAAAAAGTTGTTGAAAACGTATCTTGGAAAAGAGGAGACGGACGCTTTTAGATCTTCGAAACGTTGCCGTGAAATTTCTGTGCTTCGAATTAAATTCTCGGCTCGAAAATTAAAGCTTTTACTGGGCTTCCCGAGGTTGTGTTTTAATATCGCAAAACATCGCGCGAAATAGCTAGTTTACGTCGTCGGTCCATTAAAGGGACTAATTGCACACGCGAATGTACAAAAGTTCCTTAATTAAACGAGACCACTGTCGCGGCAAGTCATTATCGCGATATTAGTGAAAAATTCGGGGACTCTAACTTGCGTTACGCGCAAAGCACCGGCGAAAAGTATTATATCGTTATACCGGATTTAATGCGAGGCACTCGTTATCAGTCGCATATTTTAAGAGGTTTTCCAGGCTGCAATTTTGTATCGTATTAAGCTTAAAAGAGCGACCACTATAAACGATACCTCGTAAGGTTTGCATCAAAATTTAGAATCGTATCCTGGTAAATTTGATGTACGGATATCAGCTTTGATAAATTATTAAAAAATCAAAATAAATATAAGAAGATAAACCTTTATATTCTTTAATATCCAACGAATTACAGCCGCAAAGAAGAATGACGTAGTTTAATTGTCGCTGAAGAAAAGTCGTGGTACATCACAATAAAACAAAGTATGGAGAAGAATAAACTGTCGCCATAAAAATTGTACCACGCGACAAACTCACCCTGTCACTTTTCGTCTTATGAAAAGGATGGATAAGAGGGAGAACGAGTCGCACCACTATTTGTTATCGGACGCATCGATTACGAAGGCTGAGGATGATAAAATATGGGTCGCGAGCCGAAGACTGCGAACGAGGGTGGGAATATAAGATTCATACGAGCCACCGTCATTGATCCTTGTGCGTTGTTATAATTCATCGAGAGCCATTCGGAGCATTCACTCTGAGATATTACCATGGGTAAAAACTGCGGGAAAAAAGTAGTCATAATAGTAACGACGTTTGAAAGTATAAGTGTTTAATGTTGTCCTAGAATAAGCCTTCTAAAAACAAGAGAACAAGAAGAACGAGAACAAAGAAAATATGCAATCAAAAATTAAGAGAGAATATAATAACAATAATACTATTAATCTTTGCCTCGTGTAGTTGGATAAATTAATATAAATATTGATAAAGTATATATTTTATATGCAGGGTATTATATCGAGTAGTGATGCACGCAATATTCGAGACTTCAAGATTCTTGTCTTGTCTTGCCTTGAAATCAAGACAATATCAAGACAATATTGATTTAATTAATTTCGAGACGAGACAATATTGCCTTTCCAAGATCAATATTCTCGGCTCAAGAATCTCGAAATATCGAATGAATAAATATGTTTTT